ACTCTTGAGACACTCACGGAGCAAAGGCTCGTCCCGGCTCCCCGCGTGCCGCCACGAGCTAGGCCCCACCCCCCCTGCGTGCGTGCGTGCGTGCGTCAGCGTCTGCGGGAGCCCAAAATGGCGCCCGCTGCCGGATCTACGTTGGGAGCGGCGTGCTGGTATCCCTCCGCCAGAGTGCTTTTCCGAGCGAGAGAGTCAGGCGGAAGGATCGCGTGGGGACGGAAGTGGGTTAGTTCAAACGGGGAGGTGCCACCTGCAGAGCCGTCGTACGGTCTCAGGTACTAACCTGAGGGCGGGTTCGTCGTATATGTGGCCTGGGAATCGCTTTGCCCGCACATGTGTCCGCTCTCAACTTAGTTCGTGATTTACTAGTGAATTGTGTGAGACACATGTGGTGAGGCAGGGGCTCCAGACTAGGCAGGAGGCCAGAAATGGGACTTTAAGGTAGAAGGAGGCACGCACAAGGCCTTGGGACTAGAGAAGAAGTGATGCTTGAGGTGTGGCTTATTTTTTTACAGCCTCACCAGAGAAATGCCAAAAATGCTGAATTGCTATAACTTCCATGTTTGAGAGAGAGAGGTTGTAACCAGATGCTCCCTCAGCCTGGCGAAAGGAGTTTGTATCCAAAAGTGTGCAAAGAAGAATTTTTCCAACTGTTTGGTTTAATAACAGATGGCAGAATGGCCCAAAGGACCTTGTCTGAATAATGATGATAAACCCAGAGATACACTGGCTCACCTAGTGCTGTTCTACAGGCAGCACCATGGTTTTCAACATTAGGTCCATGGGTTGCTGCAGATCCAGAGGATGCTTCAAAACTTGTGGGACTCTTTTGGGGAAGGGGGTTTCCACACCCATTGATTATTTGGCTTCATCAGTGGTGGTGCTTTGTCACAGTCTCTCAATTCTTGGTGTAGGCAACTGGAAAAATAAAAATCCATTAACGAAGCTGTTTTCAGCTCTGAATTGTGTAATTTCCTTTGTGCAAGCTTAGTTATGATTAGATCTCAAAGGAGGAGCCTCAAGGTACTTCGGTAAGGCAGCAACCACATAAGAAAGTAAAGACAAACAACTGGAAAGTTTAGAGTAGGGGACTCTTTCAAGGCAATGAAGAGAGGTTTAGTTATTAATAAATAGTAGGGCTATGCGAAGCTTTGGTGGCTGATTCAATTCGGCCTGATTCAGCGACCGAATCTCTGAATCGAATCAGGAGACCCTTTAATCTCTCAGAATTGAATCAGAAGCCTCTGATTTGATTTGGAGAGATTCAATTATTTGGCCACAGATACAGCTTTATATGTTTTTTCTACATACCTTGAGGTACCAGGTGCAGGTATTGAACACTGAGATGGTGAGGTGGATGGAGCATCCCACAGGAGGGGTCCCCCATGTGCTCGGCAGCGGACTCTTAAGTGGACTACCAGAAGTACTTCCGGTACACTTCCAGGTTCGCTGTGGAGCACACAGGGGACCCTGGCCCCCTGGCTCGGCAACTGGTGCCTCCTGGGTCTGAGGGGGCACCCAGGGTCCCCTGTGGCGGATCACTGAGCCGGGAGGGCACGGCAAGGTCCCCCGCGTGCTTGGCGGTGGACCTGGAAGTGGACTACCTCTGAGCACGTGTGGGACCCCCCCCACACGGTTCCATGGGACACTCCATCCGCCCCACCATCTTGGCATTCACGAGCTGCGCCTAGTACCTTGAGGTACGTATAAAACGTATATAAAAACATACAAAAATGTATATGGCCAAATCGCTGATTCGCCAAATCAGAATCGAATCTTCAGATTTAGCCAAATCAAATCGGGATGGTGATCTGAATCAGTGAATCAAATCACTGTCCCCCGAATCTGGCAGAATCCGAATCCGAATTGAACGCTATCCGCTTCGCACACCACTAGTAAATATAGTCTTGAGAAATAGCAAGGATGCATAATTGAGAAACAAAGCCAAGCAGCCATATTATTTTATGAATCTGAGCTTGTTTTTGTTGTGTTGACTTTAGTATTACTGTAATAGTACTGTCAAACATAAGAAAGATTCTACTTGTTGCAGAGGATATGTATCTTGTATGATAACTATTTTCCATGCCCATTGTAGGTCTCATATCATTCCTGTTATCCCACTTTTAAATCAGTCTCTATACCAGTGGTTTTCAACCTTTTTTAAGGAGTGTACCCCTTCTGGTGGGTACCCCTCATGGATTGTACCCCCTGGATGGGCAGGGGGGTGTCCCCCTGCAGCCAGTTGAGGGGGGTGGGGCTGGAGCCCCACTGCTGGTCAATGAGCAGCGCGTAGCAGCGCACTTCCAGGGTATGTGATGGCAGCACAGAGAAGCGGGGGTATTAGGAAGTGCGCTGCCGTGCTTACCAAGCACTTCCCAGGTATGCAGCGGCAGTGCGGAGAAGCAGGGGTACTTGGGAAGTGCGCTGCCATGCTTCCCAAGTACCCCTGCTTCTCTGCACCACTGCCATGTACCCCCTGGGGTCTTCCCAAGTACCCTGAGGGGTACGTGTACCCCTGGTTGACATCCCCTGCTCTATACCATATAATTACAATATTCCACAGAACTGACCTGAACCAGTCTTTTATTAGTGTTGACAGCTTTCTAAGCCAGGGGTTGGCAACCAGTGGCCTACAGGCTGGATCTGGGCTGCAGAGCCCAGCTCGTAGACATGGGGCATCAGTAACACTTGGTGGTAGAGGCTTCTTCCTTGCTACAGCAGGGAGAAACAGTAGCAGTGGTCAGGTCCTAGCACTCACCTACCTGCATGTGACCCAAGATGTGTTGTTTTGGCCCGCAGCCCAAAAAGGTTGCCAACTGCTATTTTAAACCATTAAGGCACATTGTCATTCCTTAGAGGAGGTGGACAGTTGTGACTGAAGTGCCCCACAGTCCCTCTTAATTAATTTTCAGACTTCATGTTTCCCACCCTTTTTTGACTCCAAGGGTAAGTGGGGTCCTGCTTTGACCAAGGGGCTACACTAGATGACCTCGTGAGGTCCCTTCCAGCCCTGTTTTCCTATGATCCTAAATCTTAATGACTCTGCCAAACTATTTCAATTGGCTGTTGGACCACACACAAGCAATCACATTTTTCATGAAAAATTATAAAATGGTCCCTTTCTGAAAGTTGACTGGCTTCTGAATAGCCCTATTTGGGACAGCAGACTTACGTTGTTAATCTTTATGTAACATAGTAAAGAGTGAAAATGGAACATGAAAAAAGTCATGCTACTTAAATTTCTTATTTCAGTATTTATATTAAAAACATATGTTTTCAAATCAAGTGCATGGAATGAAATCTTGAGAATGTTTAATAAAATAATTACTGAGCACACAATGTACATGGTGAATTAAATCTATAACTAACAGCCACAATTTAAAAAAAATGTAATGTAAAACACTGTTAACACAATGCTTGATAATTTAAATGCACTAAAATCATGAATATTTTTATTTATACAAGATTATTCAGACTGAAAACATGTCCTTCACTTTCCCACCCTCCCAATTAATTTACCCTTCAGACTAATAAGGAAACTGTACTTTTGTTAACTTTTAAAATAATTAATATTTAGTATTTAATTGATAATAGTGAGAGCACTCACAGGTAATGGTTTACAGGGTGAGGCTTAATATAGATTTGTACTTGGCACAGGTGAGTGGTTGCAGACCTTTGACATAAGGCACTTGATGACAGGCAGCAATAAAAACATGCTAGTGGGAATAGTTACAATTTCTGGATTCAATTAAAAGACAGTCTTAATAAGCTGTTGGGTAGTGGGATTGTTATTCATGTAATTTGGCTAGTCCCTATATGCCTTTTCAGCCTGCTGTAATTGTTATTAAATCTGCTATTAAATCTAGAAATAACCTTTGATTCCCTCCCCTATCCTCTGCCATAAACAATAAAACAAATAGGTAATGGCTTTAATAGGACAGGTGGCTTAGAGGCCTCTAGCTCATCATAAAGGAGTTCCTGAGTACCTGCTCAAGAGATTTTTCTTGTACCATCCTGCCACGTGTGGATTTTGAAAAGGGGTTATAGATGGTGAGGTGCATCAACCCATATAACACAATACATATTTTTCTACAGTTAAAAATAAACTAGAAGCTTTACTACTATGCTAGGGGCCTAGGGCTGTATTATTCTGTTTAAGATTGAAGAAAAAACAAATACAACTCATAGGAATAAGATAAAAACAATTTGCACTGCTGTGAAACAGGAGCTTCATTACCAGGAGCAGCTAACATACAGCACAATTGCAGAACAAAAGCTAGCTTGATTGGTAGAACATCAAGACTATTGAAAAGAAGAGAGGGTCATTAACACCTGTGGAATGAAGAGTTTAGAAGGGATCAAAAGGCAACTGAGTGTAGTGAATGAAAACTGAGTGCCTTCTCGACCATGGTAATGTGGATGGCTGCTTCTAGTTCCAATGTAGCTTCAGGCCCTTGTAGCACTGCTAAAAAAGGGAAGTTTAGACAGAAAATATGTCCACTTAATAGTAGAAGCCACAGAACAACAGAATAGGCTTGCAACAGTGTTGGTTCAGACATCCAGAGTTTGTTATGGAAAATTGTTGATAAAATAAAAATGCTGCAAAACACAACAAGAAGATGGGTTTGTCACACTAGATCACTCAACTAGTCTTTTCTTGATTTATTTTTATCCAAAATTCCAGAAAATTCCAGTTCCTGCTAAAAGATTTTCTGAGTTTAGAAAACAACTCTTGTGTCAAAGGACCAGAAATATGACAGAAAATGTTAAAGAAACATCACTAAATACACAGCATGGAGTACCCAGCAACTGATTGGGCTTGTTTTAATCTAGGGATAATGTATCTGTTTTATTCATAGATGTGTGATCCAAAGTCTGTTTAAGTCAATTGCTGCCATCGTGAAACAAAAAAGATCCATGAGGAAGAATGGACAATGCAGTTTTTTGTAAATAAAAGTTATGCCATTTTTGTGAGGTAAGACAGTAGATAGCTAAGCTGTAAAAGATTTTTGTATGTTAGTGGGCTCCCCTTGAGTCCATGACAACCCTACAGCAAGGTGTGCCATAAAAGTGGTTGTGGGTAGGAACAGGACTAGTGTTTTTGTAATTCATAGACTTACCTCTGAGAGGGTAACAAAATTTAGAGCACATATGAGAGGACCAAGACTGGACAAACAACTTGGAGCCACTAGCCCATGGCACCTTTACCTCAAGGGCCATCATTCCCCTTGTGCAGGGGAGGAGGAAGAGCCTTGAGGCCCACACTCTCCTCTAGGTTCCAGCACAGAGACTGCGTTAAGCAGCAGAGGAACATGCCTTCCTTTCTCTACCTTTCCAGCTTGGGCATCTTGCTCTTCCACTGGTTTGCTAATACCCCTAGAGCAGCCAAGAACCTTTCCACCTGTTACCCCTATATTACCTCAGCTGCAGTCCCTTATGATAGTTGTTTCTAATGCACTGCTTGGTCACAGCTGGAGAAGGTAATTAGGTTCTTTATTAACCCTTCCAGGCTACTGCTGTTTAGGGTATATACCAGATAGTAGGAAGTTTAAATTTCTGTTATGGAAGTTCAGTAATACTTTTTACATAGAAGGTCCCAGTTTGCTTAAATACATGGTGTGACAGTGGGGAGGAAATGCAAGAAGAATCTTACATGCCGAGTCAGAGGGAAGCAGTGAAACAGCGCTGAGAAACAGCACCGAGAAAAGAGACGAGTGCTGAGGAAACCCCAGTGCCAGCATGGTCACACTTCATAAGCGTATGCCACCGGTGTTTCAAGAGGAAGAACCCTGTGTCCCGGTTAAAAACCCTCTGAGGAGATGGATGGACTGGAAGTGAGGTCCAGAAGTCCCAGGAGGGGCAAATGGTGGAAAGCAGCCTGTCGGCAACAAGCCCACTGAGGCAGCTTGGAGGAGCCGAACGACTTACCCGCACATTTGTCTTGGCAGTTAGGGACAGACTTTTGGGACCTGAGCTGGAAAGCTGGACCTGAAATGGAAGACAGAGAAGAGTTGTGAGTACAGTCGGGGGCAAGAGTGGCTTACAATGCTCCATTCTGACTGCGGACCCTGAAGTCAGAAGGGTCTCACAGGACAAGGACCTGGGTGGTCCAACTCCAGGATAAAGGACTATGAGAAGGGACTAAGCCCCAGAGTGATCTTTGAGTTGTGTATTGTTTTTGCTTTATACATTACCTACCTTAGCAGGCACTATGAGAGAGCATAGTCTTTGTGGACTTAGACATTTATTTAAGACCTTAAAGGTTGGCGTAAGGTGGGGTGCAGGGGAGGTGGAGCCCCAGAAGATGGCACCAGGGCTGGAGTAAAGATAGTACATACAAGGACTAAAAAACGTCCTCCCAATCTATATTGAAGACGAGTCATGGCAGGCGAGAGTAGCTCAGCCCCTGGCACAGATCTTCAAGAACTCCTGGCGCTCTGGTGACGTGCCCGAGGATTGGAAGAAGGCCAATGTGGTGCCTATCTTCAAGAAAGGGAGGAAAGTGGATCTGGCAAACTACAGGGCCATAAGCCTGACCCATCTATCCTGGGGAAGGTCTTAAAAAAGATTATCAAAGAGGCCATTCTTAACAGACTGGCCGATGGCAGCATCCTGAGGGATAACCAGCATGGGTTTGTCACAGGTAGGTCTTGCTTGACCAATCTTATTTCCTTTTACGACCAGGTGACCTATCACCTGGACAAGGGGGAAGATATTGATGTCATATACCTTGACTTTAGAAAAGCCTTCGATCTGGTATCCCATGATCACCTCTTGGCAAAACTGGCTAACTGTGGCCTCGGCGTCACCACGATCCACTGGCCAGGGAATTGGCTCCACAGTAGGACCCAGAGGGTGGTGGTTGACAGAAGTCAATCATTGTGGTGCGCTGTGACCAACGGGGTCCCTCAAGGCTCTGTCCTTGGGCCTATACTATTCAACATCTTCATTAATGATGTGGACATTGGTATCAGAAGTGGACTGGCCAAGTTTGCCAACGACATCAAACTCTGGGGTAAAGCATCCACACCTGAGGACAGGAGGGTGATCCAGGCTGACCTTGACAGGCTCAGGAAATGGGTGGACAAGAACCTGATGGTGTTTAACAATGGAAAAATGCAAGGTTCTCCACCTTGGGAAGAAAAACCTGCAGCATACTTATAGGCTTGACAGTGCTATGAAAGGGACTTGGGTGTCATGATTGACCACAAGATGAACATAAGCCTTCAGTGTGATGCTGCCCTAATGCACAGCAGCAAAAGTACAAGCTTTTTAAGTGATGCTTAATGTGCAGTAGCCTAATTTTACTGCACATTAGTGTATTAGCACGGTTGTTGCCATGACACTCTAATGCGCAGTAAAATAGGCCATGGCATGTTAAAGCATACATGTACATGTGTTCATTGTGTAGTAGAGGGTGGAAGCACTGTAGACAGGTCCCCCTACAAGAGTCTACTATAGACTCCCAATGTGGGGGATCTTGGCTACATGTCTACTTTATGGAAATGAGGGATTTCTCCCTAGCTTGCACCTTTGGGCTAAGGATAAGCAAGACTCAGGGGCATCCAAACTCTAAGACTTCTGGGCTTGTGGTCTGCATGTAGGATATCTACCATGGATTTGGAAGTATTTGAAGCCCCAGGCTGAAGAGTCTGGGACGGAGGATACTTGCTGGTGGTAGTGCCACACAGTCTTGAACAATTGAGTTCTGCTCAGTCAATACATTTGGAACCGATTTGGCAAATTTTGCTGGGGACATTACATTGAATATAAGAATAAATAAAATAATAAGTACTATATATAAACAGGCATAAAAGTGCTGCTTGAAAATATGTTTCTGGACTACCTATGCTAAAACTTATAGCAGACTCAAAAAAGGTAAAATGCATCAATTCTGGATGAATTAAGTTTATCGGTACCCATAGTAATTTGTATATGGTAATATGCAAATTACCACAAGCATGTTTATTTCAAAGCCTGTGTTTTCAAGTTTCTTCCCTACTTCTATGTACAGGCAACTCACGCTTAGTGTTCTTAGTTGGTTCCTGAAAAACTGAGTGTTAAGTGAAACAAGCATCAAGCGAAACTGAAAGTATTTGACAACCCAAGATGGCGACCGCGATTGTTTTTAATGACCCAAGATGGCAACCGTGAGCATTATAATGAAACTTGCTGAGCACTAAGTGAAATCATGTATCAATTTCTAATGACCGTTATAGCGCTAAGTGAAACAGAGTAAAGCGGGGGTTTCCTGTACTCAGGGAGAGTTAGGTCTTCCTTACTGTCAAAGTGGGAAGGAACTGCAGGGGAAGAAGTTGCGGGGACAGAGGGCAAGGGGGCTACCAGACTCCCCCAGATTTATTTTCCCATAGCAATGGGTGGTGGACAATTCAAGGGAAATGTCCAATAATTATGGAATAAATATGAAATAAATTATCCATATATAGATTCTAATTATTGAGGGGTTGTTTTATAATCAGGTCATCTTTTATTTGGGTAAATATGGTAGTTAAAATGTACAACTACTTGAGATATAAACAGTTAATATCTCTATCCCCATTTTAGACTTGAAGCATGGAGATATTACACAACTTGTTTAAAGTCACACAAGACATCTGTAACAAAGGCAGGACTAGCACTCAGAATACCTGAGTTTTAATCTCATCACTATCCATCCAATCACTCCTATAAAATACAGTGGGGTGACATACTGTGCTCTTAAGGATGTTACATATTTATATGTTTCACTAAACATGATTTGAATTTGTAATGTACTTTTTCAGCTCTAGTGTTGACAAAATAGTTTTCTTGCAGTTGAACAGACTTTCCTCCCACCTCCAAATACTTGTGGGAAGAAAGGCCTAATATTACAATTAAATTTTTGAAGGTACATTACTTTGACAAAGCCATTTTCATGTACTTACATAGATCAGCTTCTGAAAATCTGCTAGAGAATTTTTAATAGCATTCATACAGAGTATTCAGGGTTTTTTTCAACAAAGCTATCTTTGAATGGAATAGGACAGATATTCTTTTCAGTTCAGCAGAACTTTGTGCCCACAAGAATGTTTACTTTTTTACTATGATATTTTAAAGCATTGCTTCCCATACATTATGAATTAATGGACCTCTGTCATTCTTCAAATTTTTCTGTAAATCAATGTAATCAATATTATCTATATATCTCTATCTATATCTATAGATAGATATATATCTATAGATAGATATATATCTATAGATAGATATGATATACAGCCAAGCCCTCAGATACCACCGCATTTGTACTGAAGAGAAGTCCCAGGATTGCCACCTCACCAATCTTAAAAAGGCTTTCACCCAGCAAGGACACTCCTCCAGAGAGGTAGATCGCACGTTTGAAAGAGCCACCTGGATACCACGTGAAGAACTGCTGCAGTACAGAAGAAAACCCCCCACAAATCGCACACCGCTGGTTATGACCTATCACCCATCCCTTGAACCTGTACGGAAAATCCTCAAACAATTGCAACCCATACTAGACAGAGACCCTATTCTTAAAAAGATATTCCCAGAGCCACCCATCCTAGCCTTCAAACAAGCACCGAACCTCGCCAGCCTCATCACCACAAGCAAACTTCCTCAAGCCCAGAACACACCAAAAGGATCCAGACCGTGCCAGGACAAGAAATGCAAAACCTGCCAACACATCTCCACCACCCCCACTATCACTACACCCCACAACAGAGCCATCAGCATCCCAGGATCTTACAGCTGCACCTCCAGAAATGTAATATACCTCATCCAGTGCACCAAATGCCCTGATGGAAAATATGTAGGAGAGACCAAACAACAACTGCGCACCAGAATGAAGGCACACCGGAAATCCATCAAAGCCAGAAATACCCAATTACCGGTTGGGGCACATTTCTCGCAGGAGGGCCACTCTCTCTCCAATCTCTCAGTCCTGATCCTCAAGGGAAACTTACACAACACTTCCCAGAGACAAGCCTATGAGCTCCATTTCATCAACCTGCTGGATACTAGAGATCAGGGACTAAACATAGACATTGGATTTTAGATGCATTACAATCTGCCTGGCAACTGACTCCCCAGCCCAGCCCCTGGCTTGTTTACTTTTCATTCCATCCAGGAAGAGCACACACCAACTGCTGCAGCTTCCTTAGCCTGACGAAGGGTTTTTGAACCCGAAAGCTTGCTTAATAACTTTTCTCCAACTATTTGGGTTGGTCTAATAAAAGATATCAAATTCACCCAAGGAACCTTGTCTGTAATCAAACTTGCACTTGAAAACACTATGAAGGTGCATGAGATCACACCTGATCCATGAACAGCTTAGACCTACTACTGTTTTAAAGACCCGATTCATCTCTGTGGATGTTAAAGTAGGAGATCTTTGAGCATAGCAGCACTCATACAGCATAGTTACAATGTCAGTTTTGGAGGGAAAAAAAGAAAAAAAAATGTTGTCACAGAACTCCTAACTGCTTAGACCTTAGTTTCCCTCCTCCATACAAATGCTTTAGATCTATGAACAATGACAGCTATATGGATATTACATGCATACATACATGTGCATATGCATATCTATCTATACATATGACATCATGGGCCAAATACAGACAACTGGTGCAGATGATAAAATAATGTACTTGAGCTGGTCTGGGACTCACTGGTCAAATCTTTGCCCAGATCAATCAATGTGGCTCCTTTGATTTTAAAGAGTTTATACCAGTTTATAGCAGTTTGAGGATCTTCTCCAGAGGGTGCTTTGTGGGAGTTTATCTTGTGCTTTATCTTGCTCTCTGTAGTTATTTTATGTTCCATTACACTGAATGCAAAAATCAATGCAGGTTTCCCTGTTTTGTAACTCACACCTTTTCCCAACCCATTTGCAATCCTTGTGAAAGCTTACACCATAGGGTATGTCCAAGCACTTCTTGGGACTTACATATGCTTACAACAGTATTGTATTGGGTGCCATATCCTTATTGATGAAGACATGAGAGGACTTTAGGAAGTATTTTTCAGATGTTAGATTCCTATTATTACCTTAATTGATTACCAACTACATCAAGTTAGTTCATACATTTGTGAACACTAGTTTTAGGTGCACTACAAATGTTGGTTTTGTTTTTTTAAAGGACAAATGTCCTTGGCATACCACAAATGTTTGTAGAATGCTCAGAATAGCTTGAATTCATTCATTCAACTAAATTAAAAATCTCAAAACAGACCCTTAAGGATAAAAGTTTGTATTGTTAACATGTGTTAGCTAACAAATCCTAACATAGTCTAAAACTCTAGTATAGTTTAGACAGTGTAGAACTGATCACATCTAAAGATTCTTGAGTTACTATAGGTTTCCCTTAGCTTTCAACTCAACTACTAAAGTACATGTTAAAGTAATTTGCCTTGTACTGATTGCAGTTTTAATAAACACATAATGTACTAGTCAACATGTTAAAAAGACACCTTTTATCAAGAGAATTCCACTGATATTTACCTGGTATCCTTCAGTTTGGCAGTCATACTTTGATCGGTGTCATGAACCTAAAAGAGGTAGTGAAAACTGTTAGGTAACTTAAATTTATTGGGTTAAATTTCTCTCTCTCAATTTGACAGGATTTTTTTCCCCTACAGTATATTCTCAAGTGTTTTGTTAATTCTGTTTTAAATTAAATTAAATTAATCAAACAATGGCAACTCCTCCTGAAGAAGATTATTTTATAGCTTAATAAATTCCACTGTTTGAAATTTTGGATGGCCCTGAATGACACATTGCTAAAAGAAAAATTCAAAAAACATTTTAAAGGACAAATAAAGTGGAAGAGGAAGTCCACAGAACTAATGTACCTTTTTCGTTGTGCAGGGTATGGGAGCTACATTTGGACAAAAGGTTTGATGAAAAAACCAAACATACTTGTAGGTAGGAAATATTCCAGGGTTTTTTTTTTCAGTTTTAATATTCTAGGGGGTTTTTTCCTGGAAAAAATCTTTGTGATCTTAGTATGTCATAATTTAAAAAAAAAAAAAAAAAAAAAAAAAGGAAGATGTCCAAGAGCTTGTTTGAGCCTCAGATACCAAGGTAATTATAACCAGATAGATCTCTAAGAAAGGAATGGATATTATTCTAGTTTGCGATCATATTATAATTTGGAAAGTACTGCCAACAACTATGGCTTAGAGGTATTGACACCAATCAGTTATCAAACACTTAATCCTTGTTGAGAGTGGCTGAACCCACTGTTGAGGGTGGCTCAACAGTGTTTCTCAGTTAAGAGGTCCTAACCACCAGGGTAAGAATGAAAGGAGGTGACAAGGTGTTGAAAATTTTATTACACTCTGAAGCAGAAAAAACATCTTGCTCCCACAGTCTTACCCTTCAGGGCAAATATTCTTTGTCAGCTTCTCAAAACACACACAAGTAAATGATACAGGTTTGTCATTGGTAATAAGGAACATTTCTATTATTACTTTTACAATAAAGGTAAAGGGATGATAAAATATTTTACTTTGAATAAAGCCGAAGGAATTGGTAACAAAATAAAGCCATTTGTCTCGGTCACATCAATTTAAATCCAAATCAGTAGTGAGAAAAAATTCTTACCATATGATGGTTCTTGGATAGTCTTATGCGATGTCATTTTATTGTCTCAGTTTAGCTCTGAGTAGATGGATGACCACATCACAAAAATAACTGCTACTCTAACTGGTACCTTTGCTGATCCTCTCAGCAAAGACAAAGATTGAAAGGATGGGGAGAATTCATTACTTTCTCAGCCCTTGATCAGGTTCCTCTAGAACAAGTTAAGGTATATTCTTGGGCATTATATAGAAGCATGCACAGAAGCAATTTGTGCCATAGCAGTTTTGTAGATAATTAGAAGATTTCTATTCCCAGGGCTGTTAATACAATATCTTTCATGAATACTCAGTTGACTTGGAAAAGAAATATAAACAATTAAAAAGAAAAATCCCTCTTGGTAGAGCAGTTTTGATTCTTTTCAGGGATGTTACTAAATGAGTCACTAGGTGTGTCTACATGTGCCCGAGACTACACATTTAGTACTGTGCAGTCATTTAGTACTTGCTTTAGCAGTCCTGGTGGTGCATTGTTATTTTTAGATAGTACATCACTGTAGTGATGAGCTACGGTGACATAGCTTGTTGCTACGGTGACATAGCGTTGGCGTCATGGTTTGCGCCTGCTGATTGTGGCAAAGTGGAAACTTCCTGACTAGCCACAGTGCTAGTCTTCTAACCTGCCTCTGGGCATGCCGCCCACCTTTCTTTCCTGCCATGCCTTGATGATAAATAATTAAGGTGTTAATTAGGCAGGAGGCTGCCCTTTGAACGCCCTGTTCTCCTGGGCCTATGTATGCAGCTCCAACCACTCCTATACTGCATCCCAAGCCTTGTAGATGTTCCTAACAGCTGAGCTCTGCTCTGGCCTGAGGCCAGGCTCAACTCATCCCAGTGTTAGGCCTCTTGCTTTCTGCCCTTTTATGGGCCACACTCATACTGCCTCCCTCTCACTGAGGCCTCTCACACTCCACCGCCTCTCACACGGTGTCTCTCATACTGCCCCTTTGTGGGGCTACTCTCATACCGCCCCTCCTTTTCCCAGGGCCACACTCACCCTGCCTTCGCCTGAAGGTTCTTGGGGCTTGTTTCTCTGCATTCCCTAACCAGCAAGCGTGTGGCCTCTTGGGCCTCTCCCGCAATCCTCATCTGAGTGAGCGCTGGGCAGTTTGCAGAACACTGGAGTGACTCTGCCTCTAGTCCCTCACTGGGTCGCTCACCCAGCTGCTCTGAATTAGGGGCTCTTGACTTGACCTATTGTTTACCCATGGCACTTCCTCAGCTGCTCCACCCAATTGGCCTCTGGCCCACCTGTGGCCTCAGGCACCTGAAGCTTTACCTAGCCCTAACCTGGCCCCCATGTTAGCAGGGCCTACCCTTGAGCCCCCTGCTCACTGTGACCCACTTCACGCCCTTTCCTCACAGCGCCTCATCTCAGGCCCCCTGTTCATAAGGCCCCACTATTCACATGTTGTAACTATATCTTGGTCCCTAACTCCAACCTCTCTCCTTAAGTTCTGAGCCCCTCGCTCTCACTGCTCTCCCCAGCCCCACACAGTCAGGGCTCCTAGACTTTGGGTGCCTTGCCTCCTCGCTAGGCTCCCTGCCACGCCCTTTCCTCACAGCGCCTCATCTCAGGCCCCCTGTTCATAAGGCCCCACTATTCACATGTTGTAACTATATCTTGGTCCCTAACTCCAACCTCTCTCCTTAAGTTCTGAGCCCCTCGCTCTCACTGCTCTCCCCAGCCCCACACAGTCAGGGCTCCTAGACTTTGGGTGCCTTGCCTCCTCGCTAGGCTCCCTGCCCCTTGCTAGGCTCTCCAGGCCTCCCAGCTGCTACTCTGGTGCAGGCTGTCAGGTGCCCCACTGCACCCTGCTCTACACCTCCGCCTCCACTGAGGTCCATACTCTGCCCCCCTATACTGGGGCCCCCCCCCCCCACAGGCTCAGGTGGCTGCAGCTATGCCTGGCCCCACCCTTGACACTCCAGGGTCTTGTACCCCACATAGGCTCAGGTGGCCATAGCCATGCCTGGCTCCAAACTACCTCCGATGTTAATTGACCCACCTGAAGGTGGGGCTGGGGTTTAGGCACCCCTACTCACCTTCCACCAGGGTGGCAACTGGCCTGGCATTTCTGGGGGGGCTGTTCCACCACAAACAGCCCCACCAGACCACCCATCCCCAGCAGGGTACAGTTTTAGGTCTTGCCCAGAACCAAGAGACTCCTAATCATCCCCATCAGCTCTTGCCCTTACCTCCTGGTGTTACCAGAGCAGCAGCTATACCTGGAGATATTCTTTCTTCAGTGCCAGGCACCAGAGTGCTGCCTCCAGCTCTGCTGGCCTGAATCTTAAAATGGCCACTCATCAGAGCTGGGCCACACCTGCCAGTTGCCTCTTTGGACTCTTAAAGTGGCAGACACCAGAGGTGCTCTGCCACACACCTTCCCCCCTTAGAATAGTTCCTGGGGGAGGTTTCCCCAGCTGCTCCATCAAAATAGGCTCCCCTCAGAGCCTGTGAAAGCCCTGGAGTGGCAAGCACCCCCAAAGGTGCTCCTCCACACTGATGCTACATTGCCATAGCTCGTCACTACAGTGACATAGCATTTCATATAGATGTGCTCACTGAGACTTATCTCCAGACCGGTTCTGGAAACAAAAATATAAAAAAAGGACTCAGTTTTCAAAAGTGCTCAAAAGCACTTTCATAGCATATGTCAAGAGTGATGTGTCTCAACTTTAATTATGATCAATTATTTATGTACTTACCTTTGTTTGAATTATAATCTGTGCTTAGCACAGTCTTCAGGCCTGAATATTCTGCAGTGTAAGTAACACTTTATAAACTTTAATATGCATTTTTTTGGGTGGTAAATTGGGGTTGGTACATTTTTTACTTTGCTTTCACACTTGCAAAAAACCAGAGTCACCCTAGTAAACTCACTGGAGTTATACAAATGTAAAACATGTAGGAGATGAGGATGAGGTGTTATGACTTTGTATGCTTCTATTCCAATTTAGCATTCAGGAGCTCTCTAGTTTTCCCATATGGGATTTGTTTTCATTCTAATTAAATATTTGATATTCAGTGGGTCCATCTACACGTGCATCAATGCACCTTACTATTAGCGTAATGTCACGGTTTATTACGTGATGCTTTACTGCTCAGTAAAATAGTCTACCATGCATTACAGTGCACATGTAGATGCATCTAGTGTCTTGTTCTGATTCATTTAACGCCTATCACCTAAGGCTGGATCCAGAAGTGCAGGCACATGCGATTTGTGGCACTGCAAACCTCTTTGTGGTGTCACAAACTGTGGCACAAAGCACACCAAAGTGCCATGTGCTGGGATAAATGCAGAGATGCTCCATCTCTGAGTGCTGTGTCTCTGCACTCAGCCATGCAGCCCCCATTGGAGCCCCCAGCCAACCGCTCCCTGGATAGCTAGGGTGCTGTGTGCCTCAAGATGGGGGAGCAGGCAGCCCAGGGAGCTGTCTGCTCCCCTGTCTCAAGGCACACTGTGCCTCAACGTGGGGGCTCCATGTGCCTCAGCACGAGGACTCCCCAGCGGAGCCCTTGTGTTGAGGCACATGGAGACAGGAGCTGCCTGCTCCCCCACCTAGAGGCACACTGTGCCTTAGCCAGCAGAGCTGCCTGCTCCTCCATCTCCATGTGCTGCTCCCCAACTAGCTGGGGTGCAGGGTGCCTCAGTGTGGAGGCTGCCTGCTGGCTAGCTCCATTTGGAGGCACCCTGTGCCCCAGCCAACCCCCACTGCAGCACATGGAGCAGCAGGAAAATGTGTCCCACTGCAAACTGCACAAGCAGGGGTGTGCACTGCAGCATAAAGCAGTGGCACAAATTTGTGCCACAACTATTTATGCTGCTGCAAACGCATGCCCCTGCTCATGTGGATGTGGCCTAAGTGTCTATTCAAATGCTTCTTACCAGTGCATACAACATACAGAAATATGTAACAAAGATGTAACTTATAAAATATTAAGGGACCAAGACACCTACACACCTCAAGATTCCTGGTACAACTGCAGATCTTCACTCTAGTGCTCAGAAGGCTACTGGGTGTAATGAATGTAGTATTAACAGTAAGGGAATAAAAGATGCTACCCTAATCACACCTATCTGCCATAGCATAATATATTTTCATCCTCTAGAAAACTCTAATAGGCCTGAATGCGGATGCAGAAGCACACCTTGTGCAACTGCTACTTGTCCTTGGGACACATCTGTGCCACACTCGCTCTGGTGCGCAGCAGGGGTAGGGAGGCAACTGTGCTGGCCCCAGAAGCCTTACCTGGAGTCCTGTGGGGCAGGGAAGCCGCAGTTGTGGCGCTCCTGCAGCTGGGAGCCTGCTGGCAGCTGGAGTGTGGTTCTGGCTGGCCAGGCTTTGGTTTTGGGTGGCTTGCAATACTGCCATGTGTGCCACCCTGCTTTTATTCCAAATGGGTTTTTTTGAACCTGGGATCTCCCAGGGTCAAACTCCACCCCTTCCAACCCCCTGCCCTTCCCCACTGCAAAGTAGCAGCATGGAGAATGCCTAAAAGTGTGGGGTATGACACCACAGATGGGTCTGCAGTGCCACATACCACAGGGGCATGCTCGACTGGATGTAGCCATACAGTCAAAATACTCATTTTCCCCACTGTACTACCCACCACGAGTTCATACTCATTCAGTGCCATGCCCTGCTGGCAGCACACTTCCAGCTCAGAAAGGTGATATTTCCCTTAAAGTTTTTCTTTTTTTCCTCCTTTATTACTTAGTGTAATCAGATCTCAGGGACATGGGTTACTCTCTTATTCAGGAGTGCCAGTGTAGGACCCAGCTATTTCTGGAAGCAAGAGCCTAAATCAGAAATCTCCACAACACTACTGTTAAACCAACAGTAGTTTAACAAAGATTAAACGAACCAGCAAAATGATGAATGATATCTTCTCAGTGTGATGGACACTGCATTGCATTAGAGCTGAACAAAGGTTAGGTGTATTGCAGAGGTCATATACATAGGTGTCAGCAGGGAAACCTGATACCTATCTAGATGTCATAGTGAGTCAGAGCCAGCAAATACACACTGCATTACAGAAATTGTTGTCATAGCATTCTTAACTTAGTACTCCTAAAGCGGGGGAATAAGTTGCAGTGGCAGCTATTTGATGGAGGAAACAGGACATTAAGGAACTAAATTCACCTTTGTTGACTGGAAGAGGATGTATATCCTTCCTTAATATCAAGGATCAATGCAGTTTGAAGGGGATAGGTGGCAGCCACTGTGGATAAGAGCTGAATCAACACATCCTTAGTTGCCTTGGTCATACCTTCCCATTTAGCACTGCACACTTTTCTGATTGTGCTGGCTCTGTAGATGCTCTGGTGGAGGAGAGGATGTGGCCACATTCTTGATCCAGGGCTCCCTGTGGGCAACCTGGTTTTCCTGTAAGAGAAACTGTTAATAAACAGAAGTGAATCTGGTCTTTTAGAACAAATTGGTGAATTTGAGGAGCTGGGGCATGGCTTGAATTTTAATTAAACCAGTATGAATTAGGAGCAACTCCTTTGAAGCCAAGGCAGTTACACCAATGTCAAAATGATGTGTCACTGGTCAGGTTCTGCTATATCCTATGAATAACCCGAGTCTGAATCTCATGGAATTTATGACAGTTTTATATAGTGCAATTCCATTTACTTCATTTGAGTTAATCTTGGTTTATATAAGTGAGAGCAGAATCAGGCTCTCAGCTTGGCATTTTTATGTCATATTATTATTGCTCTATTTTTTGTATCAGGGTAGCATGTAGGGTCCCAATCATGGATTATGTTCAGCACTGCATAGAAAAAGACAATCCTTAGGGGAAAAATGCAGTGTAAATAGAAAATAAAAGCATTTGATATGATTCTGGTGAAGTTAACTGGTGAATATACCTATTGGCTTTTGTTAAACCTCCATTTTACTATCAGCAAGTTCTATGCTTTAAATTTAACAAATTTTAGTAAGTCAATCTAATTTTAAAAGGAAAAGGCAGCTGCCAGCTTTTTCTCTTTGTTATTATTATCATTTATATTTATATACTGCCCCATCCAGAAAGGCTTAGGGTAGCTTCATCTATTTATTATTTAAATAAGTAAATAATGTATTACATGACTCATTAAGTATTATGCATTCCATGAGGTTCAGACTTTGAATTGACAAATTCCTAAACATATATTTAAAATGATTGGCATTTAACTTCACAAGGAGTTTCAAAATGACAATGGTACATATTACTGATATGATACATAAGTTACTAAGGTCTTTTATAAACATAATACCCGCTTAGGAAAGATAATACTTACATTGTAACAATCTTGGACATTAGCCAAACTAAAAAGCAGTATTATACTGCTCAGTTTTTCAGTTAGAATTCTTTCCTCTGTTTTCTCTAAAATCATTTAACAGTAATTTTATAATATACTCTTTATAATAAAACAGTGCTTCTAAATATATTCTAAATGTCGTGGATGCCAATTTTCATGATGTTTGCTATACTTCCATGTAACCTAATGATCCTGTATTTTGAGCAATGAAAAGTAACACTTATGACCCTGCACCTACACTGATATCCTTCTAAGAGAAATAGTAAAATTTGTTCTTTCCTTTATTTATATTTTCCTTCTGCTGCTTTCCTATTCCTTCCCCTCACATATCCTCTAGAACAATGGTTTTCAACCTTTTGGGACTCGAGGCACCCCTCACTAGACTTGAGGCACCGCTCCATAACTTTTGTGAATTGAGTGGCACCCAATTTCAAAAACAAATTTATATATTGCTAGCAAATTCCCATCAAGAATGACGGGGAAAGGGGAGCCGGCAGGGACAGAACCCTGCATCTGGCCCCGCTCCAGCCCTGTGCTGCTTTGGGTCCAACTCCACTTCAACCCCCTTCCCACTGCTTCGGGTCCAACTCCATTCTCCCTCCTTCCCCTCCTGCCTTGGGTCTGACCCTGCTCCACTCCCCTCCCCTCCCCACCCAGTTCAGGTTCCACCCCGCTCCACCCAATTCTTTTTTTTTTGCCTCTGTGGAGGTGGGGCAGAGTGAGCCCTGCACCAGAGGCTGCAGGAGGAGGTGGGGCCAGTGGAGGGATTCCCGCCTTTCCTCAGCTGGCCCCACCGCTTGTAAAGTGCTTGTGCCAATTTATTTTTGTCATGTGTGGAGGTGGGGCGGAGGGAGCTGCCGCACCAGGGGTTGCAGGAGGAGGCGGCGCGACAGAGGGGCTCTCATTTTAACTCAGCTGGCCCCAGCCCACACAGCCAATTGGGACATGCACAGTTGGGCAAAAGTTTC